AGGTCACCTGGTTAGGAAGCGCTGGGGATGGCCAGGGTGTTTGTGCTCTTCCCCAGTGCTCCCTGCTGCCTTTGGGGGGAGCACTGGGGGGGCAGGTGACAGATCGTGCAGAGGCCCTAAGGGGTCAAATAGGCTGGTGAGAGTGACCAGGGCAGGGAGGCCCCTGGGTGACGCCTGTCCCTCCCGCCACCCAGATCTGGAGCCTGGCTGTCAACCACCTGAGCTTCCTCAACTCCTTCAAGATGAAGATGTCCGTCATCCTGGGCGTCACCCACATGGCCTTCGGGGTGGTCCTGGGCGTCTTCAACCACATGTGAGGCCGAGGCTCGGTGGGGGCGCGGGGACCGCGGGGCCGGCGGCCCGGTGACGGCCCCTGTCTCGCCAGACACTTCGGCGAGTGGCACCGGCTGGCGCTGGAGACGCTGCCGGAGCTGGTCTTCCTGCTGGGCCTGTTCGGCTACCTGGTCTTCATGGTCGTCTACAAGTGGCTGCGCATCTCAGCGGCCGGCGCCGCCGCCGCCCCCAGCATCCTCATCCACTTCATCAACATGTTCCTCTTCGCCCGCAGCCCCACCAACCGGCCGCTGTTCCCCGGGCAGGTGGGCTGCGGCCCTGGGTTCACAGCCCTCAGCGGCCCCGGCCGCCGGGCCCCGCAGAGTGGCCGAGTGCTCCTCTGAGAAGCAGGGATGCGGCCTGAGCTGAGAGGCGGAGGCCTGGGCACGTGGGAGGCTCCCAGCGAGGAGGCCTGGCCCCTTCTCTCCGAGGGTTTCCTGGCGCAGCGAGGTCCCCCCGCTCAGTGAGGGGCCGGGGGAGGAGCGCAGTGCAGGCTCCCTGGGTGTGTGGCTGCAGGGGCACCTGACCCAGCCCCCTCCCTGCAGGAGGCGGTGCAGTCTGCACTGGTGGTCCTGGCCCTGGCCACAGTGCCCGTCCTGCTGCTGGGCACACCCCTGTTCCTTCGCTGGAGTCACCGGCGTCACTTAAGGCGGACCCTGCAGCTGCAGGTAGGGGTGTTGCAGGCAGGTGGGGCCGCTGCCAGCCTGAGACCCGAGGCGGTGGGCAGGCAGCGGGGGCAGGCGGGCCTTTCTGGGCGGGCTTGCTGACGCTGCCTGCGCCCCATCCCCAGGAGGAGGCCAAGACGGGGCTTCTGGACTCAGCCGACGCGTCTGTGGCCGGCTGGGGCTCCGATGAGGAGAAGGCGGGGTACCCCGGGGACCACGAGGAAGCCAAGGTGGGTGTGGTGCCTTCCTGAGTTGGGGGGGGGGTACCTGCTGGCCCGGCCTGCCCCTCACTATCACCCCTCCCCCCTCAGTTTGTGCTCTCCGAGGTGTTCATGCACCAGGCCATCCACACCATCGAGTTCTGCCTGGGCTGCATCTCCAACACGGCCTCCTACCTGCGCCTCTGGGCCCTGAGCCTGGCCCATGCCCGTGAGTGACCGGCGTGAGGGTGGCCGCCACGGTGACGTCCCGGCTCCGGCCTGCACCCACAGCCGCCGGCGGGGTGGCCCGGGCGGGTCACTTCTCTGGGCCTCGGGGTCCTCTCTGTACAGTGGGCTCCGGGCTGCCGAGGACGCTGGGTGGGCACCCCGGCCCTGGACTCCACCGCCCCGCCCCCTCCCCACCCTCAGAGCTGTCGGAGGTCCTGTGGGCCATGGTGATGCGCCTGGGCCTGGGCCTGGGCCTGGGCCTGGGCCGAGAGATGGGCGTGGCGGCCGTGGTGCTGGTCCCCGTCTTCGCCGCCTTCGCCGTGCTGACCGTGGCCATCCTGCTGGTGATGGAGGGGCTCTCCGCCTTCCTGCACGCCCTGCGGCTGCACTGGTGAGTGGCCCGCCGGCCGCCGGGCGGCTCAGGGCCGGGCAAGGCCTTCCCCTCACCAGCTCCCTTCTCGCGCCAGGGTGGAGTTCCAGAACAAGTTCTACTCCGGCACCGGCTACAAGCTGAAGCCCTTCACCTTCGCCGTGGAGGACCAATAGCGCCCACCTGTGGCCACGCCCCCCGCCTGCCCTGTGGCCACGCCCCCCGCCTGCCCTGTGGCCACGCCCCCCCCCCCCCCCCCCCCCCGCCTGCCCAGTGGAGCAGGAAAGGAATAAAGAGGAGGAAGTCCCAGGACCGTGTCTGGGTCCTGTCTGCAAAGCAGGGGCTGGGGAGGCTGGGGTGGCAGAGCCTGGGCCGCGCCAGAACGGCAGGGCTCTGGGCTGCGGGCGTGGGCTGGTCCTGCCATGAGCCTCTTTCGGTTTCGTGGACCCCGTGGCGGCCTCTTCCATCCTCCTTGGCAGCTGAGGGGGTGGGAGGCACTGGCCCATGACCAAGGGCCTTGAGAGGTTGGGGAGAGAGCCCCTGAGCCCATCTGTAAGAAGCTGACTCTTGTGTGGACCAGGGAGGGGTGTTCCCTGCACATGCGAGGCAGGGGAGTGAGCTTCCCATCCTTGAGGGTGTGCAAGCTGGCTGCAAGAGAATGGTTGGGATGCCCTGAGTGCGAGGGGATGCCTGGCACGAATTGGCCAATGCTCCATATGGGGAGAGCAGTGCTGTTGGGCACCAGAGGCCACCGTCCTGCAGGGAAGGGTCAGAAAGGGGGTGCAGGCAGACTCCAGGCCCCGTCTTCCCCTCCTGGGAGGCTTCGGCCTTGCCATCTCCCTCGGCAGCCAGACTGCTCCCTGGAGGCTGACCTTTGGCTGGTGGGGCGGGTGGACTTGGACCCCCCACCCCCACCCCTGGGAGGCAGAGCCAGTGCTTCCCAGAGGCCTCTCTCCAGCTGGACGGTTGGGAACAAAGGCTGCTTTGAGGCTAGCCGCCCTGGGCGCAGCGAGCCTGGGGCCTGGCCCCTCACTGGGGTGCTCCTCTGGCAGCTGCCAGGAGCCTGGCCCTTGGGTCCAGGACTGGCCCTTGGGAGCCGGGTGGCAATCCCACATGCCTGGCAGATGTGGCTGAGAAATGATGATGGTTGTCTGTGAGGCAGAGAAAGCCGGTGTGGGGGGGACTTTGGCTGCAAGGGTTAAGCCAGGCCCCAAGCCTTACACCTCCCTGGGGAGCAGCTGGGCGGCCTGCAGGGTGGGGTGGCGAGGAACCCTGACATACGGGGTTTTGTGAGGAGGTGTGGCCGAGGGAGATGCTGGCTGGCTGGCACATGGATGGCTGGCAGCCTGGCTGTGGGTCTGGCTGCCGTGGGCCAGCTTGTGCCAAGCACTGCACTAGGCACTCCTGGGCAAGGTCATCAGGAGACACAGGGACGTGGGTCACCTACACGGGCGACAGGCCTGATCCCGCCGTCTAAAGCAGAGGACACCGAGTGGAGAAGCGATGTCAGGAAAAGGCGCGGGAGGAGGGAGCCCCGGATGTGGAGGGGGTCTAGGACGGCACTGGTTGTTTGCGCGGTGACCGTTCTGAGCTGATGTGAAGAAGCCCGTCATTGGAAGACCTGGCCCCCAGCATCTCAGCGGGAGAGTCAGCAACAAGCCTGGCGTGGTGGGAGGGGAAGGCTGGGGGTGGGGACGAGGCCTGGCCTTGTGGGCACAGGGAGTTGGAAGCCATGTGTTAAATGAGCTCTCACGTAGCTCAGTATCATTTATTGCTTGAACATTAAGTCACGCTTCCCCGGTTAAAGTTTAAATGTCCACAGGGTGGACAGCGGGCAGTCTCCCCTGCCGTAGCCCAACTCCCAGTGGCTGCACTGCCGTGTCCCCTCTGTGCCCGGCGGCCAGCACGCCAGGAGCAGACGCCGGTGCACATACTGGGCCGCTGTTGCACGACTCAGAAGTGACAGCTGGCCCTGACCGCTTTGGCTCAGTGGTAGAGCGTCGGCCTGCAGACTGAAGGGTCCCAGGTTCAATTCCGTTGAAGGGCATGTACCTTGGTTGCGGGCACCTCCCCAGTAGGGGGTGTGCAGGAGGCAGCTGGTCGCTGTCTCTCTCTCATAGATGTTTCTAACTCTATCCCTCTCCCTTCTCTGTAAAAAAAAAAAAAAAATTAAAAAAAAAAGTGACAGCTGAAGATGGAGTTTTATTTTTTTATTGTTTGTATAGTACAATCTCTGTGGTAGCAGGACTATATGCACAGAAATAATTCAATAAGAGTTCAGGTTTAAAAAAATTTATCCCAAAGGATATTTAACATATACAAATTTCACAGCTATAACCTACCCACGCCCCATGTCACATACAGGCCGCTGGTCCCACGGGGCAGATGTCAGGGCAGTGAGGGTTGGCCACCGAGAGCCCCAGCCAGGGTTTCTGCGCCTCCTGAGGGCCGGGCAGACAGCCCTGTCACAGAGTGGTCACTGCAGGCTGCAGTCGTGGAGGAGAAGTGGCTGCAGGGAGGGGGCCCGTCCCGTGGAAGGCAGGGGCCTGCACACCCCTCACTGCCTTCCCTTCAGGCAGGGTTAATAAAGCAACATTCGGTGAGGAGGGCGAGGCAGAGCTACCCCAGGTGGGGAGATCTGTCCGTACAACTGAACGCACTACAGTCCTAGGAGCCACATTCATCGCCCGGAGGCAGCTGCGCAGACGCGTACATGCTGCTGCTTGGCTTCAGCCATTTGGACCAAAGGGTGAAGGAACAGCTTCCGGAGACGACTGGCAGGCACGAGCAGGGCCACGTCTGTCCTGTCCCCGTCACCTCAGGAGGGAGCGGTGTCTAACGCTGTTACCTACCGAGCCACGCAGGCTCCCGCGGGGTCAGTCCTGTGAGGCAGCAGCAGTGACAGGCGCCGCGGGGCTGCGGCTGCTGCCCGTCCGCGCAGGCGGGCCTGCCTACAGGAATCTGAGCTATCGCTATTGCACTACTCAACTGTGTTTCCGCTGCCGAGCTTGCCTGAGGCCTAGTGAGTCGTAAACAAGATATGAAATAAATGTTATCAAGTTTAATACAGTCTTTGTATCATACACATCTGCGTGCGGCAGCAGCCGCCCAGCTTCTCGCCGCAGGGACGGCAGTCGGAGCGGAGGCCCCGTGGCTCGGCCGCCCCACGCAGTCCGGGACGGAGTGTCAGGAGTCCTCCCGCGGTCACACCCCCAGCTTCCTCTTCTGGTGGAAATAGGCGTCAAACCTCGCCTGGGCGTAGTCCTAGGGGACAGAAGGACAGGCTCGACCCGGGCTCCTGCCCACCTGAACGCTGCTTGGATCCTGCCCGGGAGCCACCTGTTCTAGAGACATCTCACGCTGCTGGCAGCGTTCACCCCACACCTTCATGTTAAGGTGCCCACCTGGCCCCGCCACCCAGACAGGACTGTTCCTGGTTCCCCAGCTCACTTCCCCCAAGTGTTCACAACACTGACGGACGGACTTAACAGAGGCTCCCCTTTAGAGCAGAAAGTCCCCGTGTGCTCGCAAGCACAAAGCAAAAAAGTCTCCTTTGTCTCAGTGTCATTGACCATGACTCCATATTGGCTTTAAAAATCCACACTTCCCCTCTTCTCCCCTCAGCACCTGTCACCCCCCCACCCCTCAGCACCCATGTACCCCCTCCCCTCTGCTCCCAGCGCCTGTGTGTTCCCTAACTTCTGCTTAGCAGCAGCATCCTGATAAGGATCAAGGAGGGAAATGGCACCTGTGCCAAAGCAAGGTGCTCACTCGACGTGTGTGCCTGGCCCCGGACACCCGCCCGCACTCATGGAGGTAACCCCAGTGTCTGTGACCGAGGCAGCTCTTCAGGTCGGAATAAAACGAGCCCACGAGTAGGCTAACGCAGCACAGCTCCCAGCCAAGTGAGGCTGGAGACCAGAAAGGAGTGGCGACAGACGTGTCCCTGTGTCATGAGAGACCAAGGCTGGGGCTACACCTCTCTCGTCTGCATCTCTGCAGCCCCTGTCAGAACCAGAGGCCCACACAGACTTCTCTGCAGGGAAGGAGGACCTGCTGCCCGGGAGCGAGGCAGCCCCCACAGGCACGTGGCCTCCGCCGGGGGCTTCGGTGACAGCCGCTCTGCTCCCTTCCCGCGGAGCCTGCTGGCCGGGCCGGTAACCCGCGCTCACACCATGCAGCCTTTCCCCCGGGAGCAGGAGAGAAAAGCGCTCCCAGACATACCATGTAGCCGAACTCGATGGAGGAGATCTTGGCCTGCACGATGGACCACAGCGCCCAGAAGAAGTGGGAGGCGAGGGCAAACCTGTAACCACAGAAGCAGGAAGCGCGTGGGGAAGGCGTGGCGCGGCAGAGGGCCAGGGAGGGCTTCGCTGGTGGGCAAGCTCAGCGGGGGCACTACAGCCTCTGACACGTGTGGACATGCCAACTGCCTGTCCCGGCACATGTCATGGAGGCCTTGGCGGCCATGCCGGTGAAGCCTGGGCGACACTTCCTTCCACGCTGTGCTGCCTGTATGAGGGTGCAGCATCAGCACCTGCACAGTCACCAGCAAGAGGAGAACACAGGCCTCAGAGCTCACGGCCCGTCCCAGGATGCAGGACCCCCTCGCCCCCTCCTCCCTCCCGGAAGTGAAACCAAGCACCGGAGTGAGCCAGTGCCCCACCCCAGGCTGCGCCATGCCTGTTAGAGTCCAAATTCTCCCCCATGCCTTGGGCCTGTGCGAGTGAACAGCCAGTCCCAGGACAGTGCCCTGGCTTGTTCACCAAACCAGCTTGTCGGCCTGGCAGTCCCCACTCGCCGCCCGGGTACCACCTGCTGTGCGGGTCTCTCCATCTCTCTTCTATTGCCACCTGGCTAGAACCAGGAAGGGCAGCCTATGCTGCGGGGACACCCGGGGTGGCGTGCTCAGGGAAGGGTGTGGACATGCCTGAACCATGAAGAGGTGGTCCATGACATGGGGCAGACAGTACAAGTTACTTTGAAAACAGGCAACATTTAACCATCTCCTAGGAGGTGTGTATTAGACGGCACCTCCCATCATGAGCCTGAGACAAGTGCACAGACTGGCTGGCAGCAGCCCCGCCCAGCTGAGTCTTCCACCTGCGCTGCCCTCCTGAGGGCAGACCCTGTTCCCCTCACCTGCTGACCTGAACACACTGGGCTGAGAGAAGCGCCAGGGTTGGGTGTTGGACAAAGTGCAGGTCTGAGGGATGTGCAGTAAGAGCTCACAGTCTCCACGGCCAGGAGGCACCCACCACATTCCAGAGAGGCGAGCTACCTTCACAAATCAGCAAGGGAAAAGTTACCTATTGACTTCAACCAGCATTTCTTCTTCTCTAATGAACTTTTCTTCATTACTGAGGTTTTCAAACTCATGTGGGAATGCAGCCAAGTAACTGGAAATAAAATGGAGCTAAAAAGAAAAAAGAAAAAAACGGTAAGGACCAGTGATGGCTGAACACAGGCGCTGTCCAAAGCTTCGGTGGAGCACACACATCTGGGGGGCAGAGAAGCCTGCGGAAGCCCGGCCACGCCACCGCCCGGCCCCGCTGCCCAGGGGACCGCAGGCGCCTGTCACAGCCACTGGCCCCGTCAGAGCTCTAAGGGCCCATGTTGTCTTGCCGACGAGACCGCACAGGAACCTAAGGCTACTTCTGGAGACAGTAATTCAGTTGGAATCGTTTTATTCTCATCAAAACTCAAGCTTCCCACCGCCTGACGCTGAGCAGGTGAGTCTGCCTCCGGTTCCGCGCTGTGCAGCGCTGGCAGTGAAGCTCTGCCTCCCGCCGCAGTGAGTGGCCTGTCCGGCAGATCCCCGACTGCAAGGAGCACCCTGAGGCCAGGCTGCGTCCCCCCCAGGCTTCCTCCACCCGCTCCTCTCATACAGCAGGACCTTCAGGTCCAGACCATCCTGACACTTTAGACAGACCAAGACCTTCACCGTCAGCCTTAAACATGAACAAAAGAGCTCAGCTGGTATGGCCCAGTGGTTGAGCATCGACCTATGAACCAGGAGGTCACAGTTCAATTCCCAATCAGGGCACATGCCTAGGTTGTGGGCTGATCCCCCGTGTGAGGCCTGCAAGAGGCAGCCAATCAGTGATTCTCTCTCATCACTGATGTTCCTCTCTCCTTCCCTCTCTGAGATCAGTAAACACATATTTAAAAATAACACAGGCGGCCAGAGGAGAGCCGGAGTGGTGGGCAAGAGTTACACCCATCCATAGCCTGAAGCCGAAAGGCTGCGCCCTATCACTGCCTTCCTCAGGGGTGGGCCTAACACACCTGCTCCGTGGCTGCATCCCTGGCCGCTCCCCGGCCCTGTGGGTGCTTCTGAGCAGGCGGGACGTGCCGAGGGCAGGCGTGGGGCTGCCACTGGGTAAGATGGCGGAGTGGGCTTGGTGCACTGCTCCCAGCCCTGCCTGCTTCCACACGCCAACTTATCCTCAGCCCAGAGAGAGGGGTCCCAGGAGGCAATCCCCAGTCACCGGACTCCCTACCTCAGGACAAGGCAGAGGACTGTTAACATGGCAGCAGCAATGACACGGACACAACAGGAAACATCAGTGATCCCCAAAGGGCAGCCAGAAAGCAGGAGAGAGGCTACACTTCTTATGAAAAGAACTACAAAGGGGGCTGTGTTCCCCTCTGACTGAGTCCTGGTATCTCGGGCACAGAGCTGAACTCCAACGTCAAGTTTGTGTCTATGTTTAATGGGAAAAACTTTTAAAGCAACAGGGTTTGCCTAAGCATTACACAGTTTAAAAAAGGTATCTTTCCAAATTGTGATGTAAGCAACACTAACACAGAAGGCTGCCTGGGTAATTCATGACTCCAGCGTACACCCCCGCCTCACCTGCTGCTTCCGGGTGGGGAACTTCCCCAGGTTCGCTCGGAAAAAGGGGTACTTCTCATAGTTGTAATCATACATCCACTCACAGAAATGGTTCGCAATGTCGAAGCCCCTGGAAAAGAGATTGGAAATGCAGAGAGTGAGGCAACTGCCCACCACCAAGCTCCGTTCACGGAGAGAGGCCGGGTCCTGAGCTTCTGGCACCGCGCTGGATTCCTGAGGCCCTCAAGGTACCTGCTTCGGGTCAGGGACAGCCCACGGGGCCACGGAAGCACAAAGCACCTCCGACCTGCCGCTCCGAGCAACTGCTCAAGAGCATTTTCCTGCCATCAGTCTCATACGAAAGGAAATCATCTCTGAGCCAAGGAAGTACCAGATTCTGGATTCTGAACACGCACAGCCCTGCTCCCCTAACAGGAGCCAAGGATGGGCTGCATCCGCCTGGGGACAGGAAGCATTGCTTCCAGAAGAAACTTTGTAACGCACAACCGTATAGTTACCGACTTTCCCCTGTAAGTGTTCCATACACATATTCAAATAAAATAGTATGTAAGTGCCCTGGCTGCTTTGGCTTAGTGGATAGAGCGTCGGCCTGAGAACGGAGGGGTTCCGGGTTAGAATCGGTCAAGGACACATGCCCGAGTTGTGGGCTCAATCCCCAGTAGGGGGCGTGTGGGAGGTAGCTGATCAATGATTCTCTCTCATCACTGACATTTCTCTTTCCCTCTGCCATCCTCTCTGAAATCAATACAAATTATATATATATATATATATATATATATATATATATATATATATATATATATAAATAGTACGGAAATAAAAACACCATCATATTACCTGTAATTATTTTCTTTAGGAAATACATATTTTATTGATAGCATTACAGATATCTCCCATTCCTCCCCTTGTTATAATACTTACCTGTAATTATAACTGCTGTATTCAAAGTCGATGAGCATCAGTTTCTGCTCTTCCAAATTCTCTCCCCCTTCCAGCAGTAAGATGTTACCTGCAGAAAGGTGTGCATGACACGCTTTCACTCCGGGCATGCATGTGTACACACCCGAAGGTACCAGTCCTGACAGCAGAGCGGGTCTGACCCTCTCAGGGATGCTGACACAGGCCGCGTCCGGGTGCGCCCGGAGCAGCACTGTGCTGGGAGGGAAGGCCAGGGCCAGAGGAGTGAGCCGGGGAACCCTGGGCTCTCTGGACATGGCCCCAAAGGGGATGCCTTCCGGCGCTCTAGAACTCTAGTTACCCGACACCCCAGCCCGAGGGGGCGCTGGAAAGCTGTGTTTGTGTCCTCCCAATGAGGAGAGCAGAGGTGAGGCCAGACACCACACCTGGCCCCGCCGCCTGGCCCTCACCAGGTTTCCTAACCAAGACCAGAGACACATCTGGACACTTTCTCCAGGCCTGGACTCTGGGCCACCACACTGACCCCAGGCCTACATTCTGAGATCCCCTCCCCCCACCAATGTCCTGCATCTGTTCCCATGGGTGCTGGGCCCGCCTGGCTCCTCTGCTGGCACTCCCTCTGCAGGGATCCTGCAGGCGGCACCATCTCAGGCTTCTCAGCAGCACCTGTTTCCAGGGCCATGGAGGAGAAGTGGGCAGATGCCCACAGAGCGGACACCGCGCACGCCCCCCTCACACACACGCTGCCATCGCGGGCAGCTGCCCTCCTGCCCACACAAACTGGCTGATGTGTCCACATGGTGCTTGATCAGACTTGACTGGCAACGACCAGCTAATTACTAAAAGGCACTTTGGCTTACATTGAGGTCTTACTGATGACTTGCTTCAATAGAGACTGTTCTCAAAATTAAAACCAACGGCTCAGCCTGGCAAGGGCCCAGAGGTGGACGGCAGAGCAAAGCAGAAGTCAGTACAGGCAAGAACTAACGTTCCACAGGGGGTGGCTCTGACACGCTGCAAGGGGCCGCGCCGGGTGGCATGGCCCTGACGGACCGAAGCAGTGGATGCCTTGACCTGCTGGTCCAGGCTGCAGCCACGTCCACAGGCATCACACTGCACAAGCACAGACTTAGGAAGCTGAAGGCCTTCAGCCCACCTCGCAGTTTAAGTGAATATTCTGTTTTTTTCTGAATATATTGTTTTTTTTTTTTACAGAAATGGGATGATATTCTACATGTTTTTCTAAAACATGCTTTTCTCTTTCAATATATCCTGGAGGTTTTTCTATTGGCCCGTATAAAATTCAACCTCCCCCCCCCCCTTTTTGAAAATTCTTATTAATTTATTTGAGCCAAATTCATGATATGTTGAGAAGCAAGATTTCTAATGCTCCCTCTTCCTTTTTAATAGTTATGCTACACTTCATGTCTGGTTGTGCATAAGTTAGTGCCTCAAATCCTCTCTCTCCCTGCACACCTGGCACCTGCTGTACACCCTAGAGGCCATCTTTAGTACACACGCACACGCACACATAATGGAGGCAAGTCTCACCTTCTTGACAGTCATTATGACAAAATACAACTGGAGATGGAGTGGATTCAAGCAATGATCTGGAAAAGAAAGGATTTGCTGTTACGTACCAAGCTTTTAAGCAGTCCAATGCAAACAGTCCTGCCGCTCAACACCCACCCCCCCCATATCAGTGCTCCACACAACACAGGCCTCTGCGTGATGTCTGTCACTGTGGAAACTGTCCTGCGTGGGCCAGGCTCCAGGATGGCCTGTGCTCAGCCTCTCCCTCCTCGACTTCCCTCGCCTCCTGCAGCCCCTCCTCCGAGAGCCGGACTGGCCACTGAGCAGAGTGCACCACTGTTTTGGCCTCTTGATTCCTGAGAACACTTTTCACAACTTCACATCATTTCTTTACTTTCTTGTTTTTGTCTCTTGATGGAACAGAAGGGCCTTGAAGAAGGTCTTGGTTACCAATCACAAAGCCCAGCTCAACAGACTCTCACACCCTGAGTATTAAAGGTGTAAACACTCCCACTTGGGGCACGTGTGCTGTGAGTCTGCATCCCCGGCCTCTGAAGACTCCATATGGCGTCTATTCAGACAGCGATGACAGCGTGGGGTACCCTGTCCCCTCCCGGGGTCACACTCCCGGTCTGTCCCCATGGCTGCTTGCTTGGGTTTGTTTCAGAAACAAACTACTACCCTGGTGCGCTGCTGCCACAGCCAGCCACCGTGCCCGTGGGACTGCACTCCCGCCTCGTAACCTTTGTGAGTGAACAGCAAGTGACATCACTCCTGTAACACCCACCAGGTGCCAAACCCATTGCATAAAGCCATCCTGCAGAACAGACGGAGTGCAGGACCCGAGGCCATGCTTAGCAGGCGATTCCTGACAGTTGTCGGGGACATTTCTGGACGCTGCTTTCAGGGTCAGGGAATGGACGCACTCACTGACCTCAGGTTCTCCAGCTCCAAGGGCAGGTTGTAACTGAGGAATTTGTGCAGCTGCTTCACCTTGGCTCCCTCGGTGAATTTAATTCTCAGCACTTGATTCAGGTACCTTGCAAAAGGAGAGAACAGACAGCATTGCTCAGGCAGCTTGTCCCGGGCTCCAGTTCAAGGTAACCACACATCAGAGGCGCCGGGTCTCCGTGAAGGGGACAGAGAAGGGCATGAGGCCCAGGCGCGCTGGAAGCACACTTCCTGCCCATCCACCTGTTCAGTGGTGTTTCTGCAGGTCTTTCCTGGTTCGGGAACTGATTCTGACATGGAAGCAAGATCTACTCATGAGGCATTCACCACCAGCTAGCAGCTGCACACGAGCAGACAAGAGGAATCGCCGCTGGCCCCCCGGGAGCTGCCAACGCAAAACTCAGAGAAGTGATGTGACCACTCACTTTTCCATTGTGCCAAAAAGCCATTTCGGTTCCTTATTGAATGGCATCTTCATACCATGAAACGTGGCCATTTTCTCAGATATTTCTGCAGAAATATTTGGCAAACTTAATTCTTCAGTCTCTAATCGTCGGCTCTAAAACAAAGAAAGGTTTTAGAAATGGCATTTATCCAGGTAACCTAAGAAGTGTGAGCTCAACCGGAACCGGTTTGGCTCAGTGGATAGAGCGTCGGTCTGCAGACTGAAAGGTCCCGGGTTCGATTCCGGTCAGGGGCATGTACCTTGGTTGCAGGCACATTCCAAATGGGGGATGTGCAAGAGGCAGCTGATCAATGACTCTCTCTCATCGATGTTTCTAGCTCTCTATTCCTCTCTGTAAAAAACCAATAAAATATATTAAAAAAAAAAAAAAAAAGTGTGAGCTCACACTCTCTCTCAGGATGAGAAGCCAGGTTTTGAGGGGTCTAAGTCTCAGCGAACACACTTAAAACTCCCTTAAGAATGGGCACTGTGCCCGAAGATGGTGACACACTAATTGCCATGGCATTTCTGTCTTTCTTTGTTTGTTAAATATATTTGTACTGATTTTCAAAGAGAGGAAAGGAGAAGACAACAGAAACATCAATGATGAGAATCACTGGCAACCTGCCTCTTAACACGCCCCTCCTTGGAATCCAGCCTTCAACCCGGCCTGTGCCCTGACCCAGAATCAAACCATGCCCTCCTGGTTGACAGGGAGGCACCCACTGAGCGACATGGGCCGGGTGTCAGGGCACTTCCTAGTGAGGGCAGACCACCTTCAAAGGCCCAATTCATTCTGAAATTTTTAAACTGAAAGCCTTTCTCCCACACAGTTTGTGCCTCCCTCTGCTGACCCCGCCCTAAAAGTATGCTCCCCCCTCCAAGCAAAGAGACCAGGGCTCCGCAGCTTCTGGGTGACCGCATCCGGCTCCTCACCCGCGGGAGCAGCCAGGCCTGACAGGGAGGTGTGGTGGGCAGCAGTGCTGTCAGCTCAGCTGAGTCCCGCCCACTGCTCATGGCGGGCCCGGCACTGCAGACTGTCAGCTCAGCTGAGTCCCGCCCACTGCTCACGGCAGGGCCCGGCACTGCGGACTGGTAGGAAGGCTCTCAAGAAAGCAGGCGCCCAGCAAGTGGACTTCCCAGCTTTCCTACCGCAGCCCGAGGCCAAATGCGTGTGGCTGCCTTCCCACAGCTGCTCACAGGAGCTCAGTGACCTAAGACTTGTCTATCTTTCCCACAGGACCTGCTTCCCCATAGAAACCCAGAGACATTTCTCTGAAAGTCCAAAGTGAGGCATGGCTGGCATGGCGCGGTGGTGGAATGTCAATCTATGAGCCAGAAAGTTCAATTCCCAGTCAGGGCACATGCCGGGCCCTGGGCTCGATCTCGTGTGGGGTGGGCAGGAAGAAGCTGATCCATGATTCTCTTTCATCACTGATGTTTCTCTCTCTCTCTCTCTCCCTTCCTTCTGAAATCAATGAAAATATATTAAAAAGAAAAGTAAGAAAATCCAAAGTGGGATAGCACAGAGTAAAGAGCGAGTGTCCTCAAGCTAGAGACACGGCCCCTGCTCCATTTCTGGCCTCTGTACTCACTGCAAACTACATGGCCAAGGGCACATAACTTACACCTCTGTGTGCCTCGTTTTCCAGTGTCTGTAAAATGCCAACATGCCATGAAATTCCTGACAAGGCTGCTCTGAACCAGCTCAGACAATGCGGGCGAGTCTCCAGGCCGGCACCTAACCAGCGCATTTCAACAAGCAGCAGGTGCCCTGTGATTCAGACCACGGCCCGTCAAGCTGTCTCGATCCAACTCTGGATCCTCCACAAGGACCACACTATGATGGGAACAGGGCACGCAGCTGTCAGTGGCAGGCCACGGTGGACTAATGAAAACTCACTCAGCTTCCTGAGCTGCTAAAGAGTGATGGCAGCCCTGGCTGGTGCGGCTCATTGGTGGGCGTTGTCCCTTGTCCCGAAAGGTTGCTGGTTGAGTCCCAGTCAGAGCACATGCCTGCTTATGGGCTCAATCCCTGGTAGGGGTGTGCAGGAGAGCGCTAAATGATGTTCCTGTTCTCACATCAACTGTTTCTCTCTCTCTCAAAATCAATTTTAAACATAAAATTTGAAGTTAAAAAGAAAGGAAGAATCTAAGCCACATTTACTGTTTCAGACGAGCAGTCGCAAACACATCTTACCGGGATGAACTGCTCCAGGCGGCCTTGCGGGAAGATGCCGTAGAGCTTCGGCCCGAGCGACCGCTCCGCGAGAATGGCGAACATGACGCTCTCCAGAACCATGGCCTCGGCGCCCTGAAACACCAGCAGAGCAGGCGTCAGAGGGCTTCCCAAAGCAGTGTCACCGGGTCCCGCACCGACTCTTAAGAGCGGCATTATCACCACCAATTTAACACGAAGAAAGAGGTTAAAAGATCTGGAAATTTGTAAGATCCATGTTCAAAGCACTATACAGATGAGACTTAAAATTAACTTTAATTAAGGTCACTGACTCAAAAGATGGGCCAGTATCTATCAATCCTTTATTGCTCCTGTTAATTTTAAAGCATCGTGTCCCAGGTCACAGCACCACCACGCTGGGGAGGGTACAGTGCTGGGTGGTGAGCGCAGGGCCAAAGCCTGCCGGCTGCCTGGGCTGTTACAGTTTATGAGCTTCCGATTACTCATCCAGATCAGGGGTCTGTTTTCTGGCCCACGAGCACCTGCGCCTGGAGCATTCAAGGTTTCTACTTTCTACTGTCATCCCCAATCTCCTCCCATGTCATTTAATGTTCTTCTTGCCAAAACATCTATGATGCTCATAGGATTCTGTCCTAAAAACGAATGTGGGTCTATAATCATTTTGCCTTTAAAATCCATGTTTTGGATTCAATTCAAACTATTCCTTAGTTTTCTTCTCTCAGGCAGCAAGTTATAGGTTAAAAGTTTCCATCTGTTGGGTGAAGACAAGGGAAGTTAGCCAGAGGTGCACCCGAATCTCGTAGAGCCTTTCAAACAGTGTTCCTGAGGGGACGCCAGCAGGCACGCTCGGAAAGTTCTCAGGGGTCGGAGTTTCCACTTCACCCCATGTTAAGAGCCGTGCTGCTGCGCTTCTGGGTGCCAGGATCGGCGCCCAGGTGGACAGCTTCAGGTCACGTTGAAGCACCATCAACCGCCTCCACAGAGACAGGCTCATGGGCGCCACAGCTCGCTGAAGCTGTGGGGTGGGCCCTGCACAGCTGAATTGTCACAGCCCATCCTTGCAGCCAATCGGCCTCAGGGTAAATCTCTCCCACTGATATGCCAGGAGCAATTAAGTCAGAAATGAAGAATACACTAACTGAAATGAAGAACAATTTACAGCGAATCAATAGTAGAGATGAAGCTGAGAATAAAAACAGCAACTTGGAATATAAAAAAAGCAAAAAACACCCAATCAGAATAGCAAAGGGGAAAAAGAATTTTAAAAAGACAAGGATAGTATAAAGGAGCCCCATGACAACTTCAATTTGCCAACATTCGCATTATGGAGGTGCAAGAAGGAGAAGAGCAAGAACCTGAAACCATATTTGGAAAAAATGGTTAACTTCCCTAACCTGGTGAAGGAAACGGACATGCAAGTCCAGGAAGTACAGAGTCCTAAACGAGATAAACCTAAAGACACATCATAATTAAAATACAAAGGGTTAAAGACAGAGAGAGAATCTTAAAAGCAGCAAGAGAAAAGCAGTTAGTTACCTACAAAGGAGCTCCCATAGGACTGTTAGCTGATTTCACAACAACAAGTTTGCTGGCCACAAGGGATTGGCAAGAAAGACTTACTGTTATGAAAGGCAAGAAGTTACAACCAAGATTATTCTATACAGCAAAGCTATCATTTAGAATGGAAAGACAAATAAAGTTTCCCAGACCAGAAAACCCTAAAGAAGTTAGTTCATCACCACCAAACCAGTATTACATGAAATGTTAAAGCATCTTCTTCAAAAATAATTTTTTTAAATTTATTAATTTTAGAAGAAGAGAGGAGAGAAACATCAAAACATCAATTATTTTCCACTTATTGATGCACTGATTGATTTTTGTATGTGTCCTGGCTAGGGATTGGTATATTGACTGGTAATCTAACCAAACTGAGCTGCCCAGACAGGGCAGTCTTTTTTAAGAAGAAAACCAGCTGACTAGGTTGCTCAATTAATTGGAGCATTGCTCCTTCCGCTGAAGGGTCAGGGATCTGATTCCTGTTCAGGGCACATACTCCCATTTCAGGTTCCATCATTTCTCTCTCACACTGATGTTCAATGTCTGTCTGTCTGTCTCTCTCATTTTCTTCCTCTAAGATCAATAAAATAAACCAAACCAAACAAAAACACACATATCCCTAGGAAAGAATTTTTTTTAAAAGTTCTTTAAATCACACATTACAAAAATTAAGTAAGACAAAACTCATAAGCAATGATGCAAACTAAAGTTAGTAAGGAAACAAAGAAGAAAAAAGAAATGCTAGTTAGAAAGATACGGTGTCAAATTGAAAAGTAATTCACTCGTACATTTGGGGGGAAGTGGATTTGCTGGTAATCCCCACAGTTCTAGCCTAGCCGCCACCACCTTGTGTAATCCCCACCACTGTGATGTAACCATCACCGCGGGGGCCAATCTTATTTACTAGTCTGAAGTTTTATATAAATGACTGCTATAAAGCAAACTGCCTCCTCCTCCAAATCCATAATTGCAGCCCCAACTGACTCCACTGCGATGGCTTTGGTGGGGCCTTTGGAAGGTGACTGGGTTCGCTGAGGTCATGATGGCGGAGCCCTAAGGAGATCAGTGTTCTTGGAAGAACAGACTCAGAGGACTCGCACTACTTCTCCCGCCCTCCACCCGGTGAGGACCCAGCGAGAAGCTGGGATCTGGCCAGGCAGGAAGAGGGCTCTCGCCAGAACCCAGCGTGCAGGCACCTGTCCTGACCTCTCGCCTCCAAAGCTTGGAAAAACCAGGGCCTGCAGTTCATGCCCCCGGGGACTTTGTGCTGAGACAATGGCAATAGGGCCACAGGGCGGACCTATCAAAAGTTTGTGCATTTTAAAGCAGGATTTGACTGACAATATTTAAACTCTTAATGACTGACAACCAACTCCTGACATCTCTATTAACAGCAAACATCTTCGCTCACTCCTCTGACCGGACAGCAAACCTATCCGTGCACTGGACACCGCAGGAGAGTGCCGCAGAGCATCTTCCGGCTCTCCACCTGAGCCTGGCTCTGCTGCCCCCAGGAAGCAGCAGCCCTGCGCCCCACCCGCGCTGGACGTAGTCAAAGTGAGTGCAGGACAAGGAAGCTGACCTTGGCCCCAGACCAGCTGGGATCCCATTAGTGGCGCTTCGCCATCTGTACAGCTCCCAACCCAGAACTGCAGCCCGTTCCCGTCATTTCCAAAGAGTACGACGACTAAGATTTCTCCTGTCTAAGTGCCCTCAGTTCTGTTGGAATTAAAGTTTGCTGTCAAGTTTCCTCTGTTTAGAATAAGGTAAAGGTCATTGAGGTTGACACTGAATCAAACACGTTTCTAATCTCAGTGCCCCTTACAGTTTAAAGTTTTAAATTTCATAGATTTAAACCCACTATTATTTCAGTAATTATTTTTGCACATTGTGCAAAGGCTTCTGGAGATGACTGCAAAAGAACACACACGGTCCAGAACCCTCCAGAGTTGAGCCAACCCACTGGCAGAAATGGTGAAGACAGAAAGAGACGAGGATGTTCCAACCTCTGTAGCATTGCTCTGAGCACTGTGAACAAGCATCTTTGTCCTTATGTGATGCTACAGATCAGTATTTATTCACAGTAGGGAGAAAGGGGAATGGTGTGTGGAGGGAAGAATCTGGAAAGGAAGAAAATGAAAGAAAAAACTAAGTCACAAGACAAATGGGTAGGTAAGAAGGCTCAAGTAATCTTAGAATGAGTGCCTGGACCACAGGTGGTCTTTCTGTCCCCACAAGGTCTCCAGGCACCCTGCTGCTTGCTACTTAAGTGACCACCCAACGAGAGAATGGTAGCAGATGGTGTGAACTCCTGGGTGGAGGACAGGAGAAACCCAAAGACAAGGTTTGGATTGGTGGCCTGAGGAGGGAGGGCAGCATGCGAAGAGGGAGTGGACCGAACTGTGGCGCGTTCTAGCAGTTAATGCAATAGGACATGAGCCTAGAAGGAAGGAGAGAAGGAAAATTAGAAGAGAGACAGTTTTACTTTGTGTCTGTGTCCCAGCTGCCTTTAGGGAAGGACACATTTCAAAATAGATGAGGGTCCTGTTAAATGCTGCTGCGAAGTCAAAATAATACAACTGAAAAAATACTTTGGACTTAGCATCATGGAGGTCCTAGGGCTCCGACATTTTCAACTCCCAGCAGGCACTAAGGCCTACATCTAAAGGGCTCAGAGCGGGGGGTGGGGGTGGGGGCGACGACGACGACAGAATGTCGGTCACTTCCCACCCGGTGCCTCCCAGTCAGTTCTAGATCCTCAGGACCAGGGTTCCCAGAGCAGGGAGCAGGCAAACCACCCGCCAGAACACAAGGACTAGCAGCACTTTTATTCCTGTATCATCTCCCCTCTTCTTATGCCTGTCTTTCTTATTTTAATAACTAGTACACAACTTAGTAATTAGAAGAGCCAGTGTATTTATGTGTAGATACATACATACATGTGTGTTGTGTGTACATGCACACCTGTGCACACACACCCCTTATATTAATACACAAACCTAGGAGAGTATGCTCAAAGGTTGTTTCCTCCCTGGAGTGTGGAGGTAACTGCTCGACTCCCCACTTCTGAGCCTCAAAGAGAAGACAGGATGACATCAGTGCTATCTTTTTTTTTTTTTAATTTTTTAAATAAATCTTTATTGTTCAGATTATTACAATTGTTTCTCCTTTCCCCTCCCCTCATAGTTCCCCTCCACCTGGGCCCCATTCCACCCTCTGTCCTTACCTCCTCCCCTCCTCCCCCCGCTGTCCTCATCCATAGGTATATTATTTTTGTCCAGTCTCTTCCCATACCCACCACACAGACACTCCTTTCCCCCTGAGAATTATTATTTTTTTAAATATATATTTTATTGATTTTGTACAGAGAGGAAGGGAGAGGGATAGAGAGCTAGAAACATCGATGAGAGAGAGAGACATCGACCAGCTGCCTCCTGCACACCCCCCACCGGGGATGTGCCCGCAACCAAGGCACATGCCCTTGACTGGAATTGAACCCGGGTCCCGTCTATCCACTGAGCCATACCGGTTTTGGCCCCCTGAGAATTATCAATCCCCTCCCATTCTATGCCCCTGATTCTATTATAATCATGTTTATTCTGTTCATCAGGTTTTTAATTCACTTGACTTTTAGATTCACTTGTTGATAGATATGTATTTGTTGTTCATAATTTTTATCTTTACTTTTTTCTTCTTTTTCCTCTTTTTAAAGAACACCTTTTAGCATTTCATAAAATACTGGTTTGGTGGTGGCGAACTCCTTTAGCTTTTTCTGATCTGTGAAGCTCTTTATCTGCCCTTCAATTCTGAATGACAGCTTTGCTGGGTAGGTTCTTGCTATTCACCACTTTAAATATTTCTTGCCACTCCTGTCTGGCCTTCATAGTTTCTGTTGAGAAATCAGCTGATAATCGTATAGATGCTCTCTTGTAGGTAACTAACTTTTTCTCTTGCTGCTTGTAAGATTCTCTCTTTGTCTTTTGCCCTTGGCATTTTAATTATGATGTGTCTTGGTGTGGTCCTCTTTGGATTCCTTTTGTTTGGGGTTCCGTGCACTTCCTGGACTTGTAAGTTTATATTTCTTTCACCAGGTGGGGGAAGTTTTCGGTCATTATTTCTTCCAATAGGTTTTCACTATCTTGCTCTTTCTCTTCTTCTGGCACTCCCATAATTCTGATGTTGGTACGCTTGAAGTTGTCCCAGAGGCTTCTTACACTATCTTGAACTTTCTGGATTCTCTTTTCTTCTCTTCTTGCTTCTCCGGGAAAGTGTCCTTTGCCTCTTTGTATTCCAAATCTTTGACTTGATTCTTGCATTCTTCTGGTCTGCTGTTGGGGCTCTGTATATTTTTTATTTCAGCCAGTATATGTTTAATTTCTAGTTGGTTTAATTTCTTTTTCATATCCTCAAGGGTCTCGTTAAATTTATCGGCCTTTTCTAGGAAATTCTTTTTTTTTTAAAATATATTTTACTGGTTTTTTACAGAGAGGAAGGGAGAGAGAGAGCCAAAAACATCGATGAGAGAGAAACATCGACCAGTTGCCCCTTGCACACCCCCCACCGGGGATGTGTCCGCAACCAAGGTACATGACCACGACCGGAATCGAACCCGGGATCTTTCAGTCCGCAGACCAATGCTCTACCACTGAGCCAAACTGGTTTCGGCTCTAGGAAATTCTTGAAAAACCTTATAACTGTGGTTTTGAACTCTATATCCAGCCTTTTGTTCTCCATTTCTTTTGTTTGAGAACTCCTTCCTTTTCTCAGCATTTTCGCCTCTTATGCAAAAGCAGCTGAGCGGAGCCTGGCGGGTTTGTAGAATGTGCGGGGCGGGGCCTCAGGACACTAGGCTGGGGCGTGGCAAACAGCGGTGGCTGCCATCAGCCATCTCTGGCTTCCAGCCTTTCCAAGTCCCCGCGCTCCAGCGCAGTGAACAATGATTGCTGCTCGCACCTGTGCAAAAAGCCACCCTCACTTTCCGACCCGATGGCCGACAGACCAGCTTCTCCTTGTAGGCATCTGGGTCCCCGCGTGACCCCAGAACTGGATTTCAGAGGGATCGGGAGCTTGTTTCCCTTCAGGTTGAAAAAAAAGCCACGCTCCCAGGTGCACGCCATCAGCCCGATTTGCGTGCCTCCCTTCCTAGGCTTTTCAGCTTTTCAGCGCTTGTGCGCCTTTCTTTCAGCCAGCTTTCCCGTGGTTCTGGGTGACAGACGTTTTGTCTTTTAGTTGTAGTTTTGAAATTGTTGTGCGAGGCAGCAGATTAGTTGCTCACCTATGCCGCCATCTTGTTTTTTTTTTTAGTGCTACCTCTTTTGAATTTATACGTTTTTTGAAGTGAGGTCATTCTAACTCAAAGCTTGCAACTGAGGGAGACACCTTTCTGCCTGGCACCTTACGGAAGTAAGACGCTCCTCCTGCCCGGGAGAAACAGCTGGGCAGTGATGACACGACAGCAGTGAGATCCACCAAGCACGGCGTGACCTCAAACTGCCACCTTAGTCCCCAAAATGCTCCCAGGTCGCCCAAAAGACACCAACATGCACTAGCTCAGTAGGAACTGGAAACAGCCACAATCCTCTCGGGCTTACTGAGGTGGCTCCCATACACCAACAGCCCCTCCTCTCAGACAGACAAGACAGACGGACAACCAGGGTCCTGCAGATACTGCCCCACAGAGTGGCCAAGGCCGGCTAACGTGGTTACACCTCACCCAGATGCAGAATGGATCTCATTACTTACTTGAAATTCATTTTCATTCTGAGCTTGTTCGGATCCCTCCTTATTACAGGACCTCTATGGATGAGAAAAAGTAAACACTTCCGGTGAGATGGGGAACAATCAGCAGGCACTAACTTTGCAGCCACCAGAACAGCCAGGGTAACAAACATCACCGATTTAAAGCGTGTGGCTCAGTCCCCTGATGTCTAAGCTGCACCACCAGGGTCCACCCTGGGACCGACACCGGAGAAGCGCTTGTTTCTTTACAGGAAGGGCTGTGCTGTGGGACCAAGCAGCTGTGACTCCATCACTCTGGTGTGCCACTTCACAATTTCATTGCTGGAGGAAAGCAACAGAGGGCGCTCTTCCAACGAGGCCTCCCATAGCACATGGTCAAGCTGAGTCTGCCCTGGTTAGCCAGGTGGCTCTTCACCTGGACAAAGGCCTTCTTTCAGCAAGATCAGGGAGGGCACACATGCCAGTGGCAAGCACAGAACTCACAGAGGAGAAAGCCTGTGCAGGCAGGTGACCTGGCACAGAAACTGTGCAGACGAGCCTGCCAACTTGGTGCTTTCAGACTAACTCTGCTTGTTCCTCTCAATATAAACGTGTCCTCCACCAGAAAGAGGTTTGTGCAGATTTAATCAGGTCTCTAACTTATGTCACATATTAACATATGAAGGGATATTTTCACATCACTGCGCAATGAAATTGCAAATGACTGGTAACCAGGATCCTAGCAATAACAACAACTACATCATGAACCACCATCTTGCACTCTGCCTACTCCTTTCTTCATGGTCCGGACCATTTCTTCTCAAAGTACCCCCCACCCAAGCACTGTGAAACCTTCCCGCTCTCTTCTAGCCAGGGCCTGGGGAAGCAAGTCATAAACTTGTGTCACGTCAAAAGTCTATACTCAAATATTGCCTCTAAAAATATGTTGTTAAAATTAAACTAAAGTCTGCTTATGTCAGACACAGAAGGAAGCCCATAAAGGAAGCTCTTTAAAAATGTTAAGGTAAAAGATTCTTGAACACCCCGTGAAAAACATACCTTTCCATTCCACAGCTTTATCAAAAATACCTGTACCAAGGGTAGAAAGTGTGGACAGGAAAAAAAATGCCACGTTAAGCAACACCAGCTACTCTAGCACCGTTCAAAAACCTAGTGATTTAAAGCAACAATCCCATCCATCACACACAGAAGTAACTTTCCACAGACATTTTAACATGTTTTATATAAACAGTATACGTTCTAGCTTACTGAACATAAAACTAAACAAAATAAATATCAATGTGCATGAAGCTATCTGCAAAGACCTGCACTTACATATAGTCGATAATGTATTTACCATACAGTGAAGCACATTTTTATAAAGAACAGAAAATACAAATGGGATATAAAACACTTTGTGTAATTTGCATCTCTCTGATGAAAAGGTGGTACAGGTTAAATCCCGTTACACTGAGAGCTACAAAAATGAAAATATTTTAGAAATACCTTTAGCCTCTGCTGATGGCTAGGTGTAAGATGTGATCAATCTTAGGAGGGAGTCATTAGGTTTCATGAAAGCTTTAATCTAAAATACTCTCATGATTACACTGTTACCTTACCCTTGGTCTCCTCTCCCTGTGGCCTACAAGGTACTTATGCACATGGACAACATCTCTGATTTATGTCTTTCCCAAAAGCACCAAGTAAATCCTGGTGCTTGAACACTTTTAGGATGGCATGAATAAATTAACATTCTGGCACCATGAAGTTCAAGGTGGCTAGCTCAAGGTGCAGCCAGGGTGTTGGCAAACTCACATCCATGGTTCCAGCAGTGGGAACACTGGCCATAGTGTTCATGGAAACACTGAATGGGGTAGAAACATCCCCAAAACATTATACCCTTTTGCTTTTTCTCCCCAAGGGAAGTTAAACATAAAGGAAGTTCTATTATCTCTAATATCTGATACTTTGTAGGGAAAACTTGAAGACAAATAAGGAACTTAGATATCTTACTGAAATTTGTTGTAACTGGATTTGACCTGTACAGAGTTCTAAATGACTATGGTTATTCCTAGGTTGTTATTACTCAAACTGTATCTTCTTAGATACAGTTAATGGGTTATTAAGTCAACAGAAGTCCCTTATCCTCGTCTAATGGTGCTCTCAAAAGCAAGTGACTTCATCCAAAGTTAGAATTGGTTTAGTTCCCGAGGCCATGACTTTTGAACATATTAGCAACCATTGAGTGAAAATAACTTCCCCAGCTGCCCACCCGACCACCCCAAATGCAGGCATGACTGCTGCCTAAGAACACCACCACGAGGTAAGACGGACTTCTGCTGTGGCCAGCCTTCGGTCTGTTTCCTCAGTACAGAATGCTCAGGTTCCCTCAGACCTGGGAAAGACCCAGGAAACCTCAAAACAAGGAGGTATCATGAAAAGGTGAGAGAAGAGGCCTCCTCCTGAGGTAAGCCAAGAGAGGCTCACACTGCCCAAAGGTCAGAGACGTTTCTGTCCTGGAAGACAGTAAGAAAAATGCATCCTGGAATCTGTGGGTTTTCACTTCAGAGGAAAAAAATCATCTGAAGAAGATATGAAATATAATGTAAAAAATATAACATGACTTCAATATTTTTGTCAACTAACTTGCACATTCATAAAAATTAGCTTTTAGAAGCTATAAAATAAAGCTGAGAATTTATGTTTATTAGAAATTTGAACCCTGACTGGTTATTTAATATCAAATAATTACTAAGACTTTTAAATGTGAACATTGTTCTGATCATCTTTTTAAAAATCACCTTAGACAGACGGAAACATTCATGAGAGAAATGGCGTGGTGTGTGGACTTCCTTCAGAATAGCCCTGGAGAGGGACTGGGAGAGAGGGAGAAGACTGGTCGGAGGGAAGGTGTATGCTGGGGGCTGGCATTTCATCAGACTCTTTTGGGCCACAATCTGAAGTTTTCCATAATAAAAAGTTTACAAAAGAAAATGAAATGTTAAGACTTAAGAAGTCATAATGCATCAAATTCACACCTAATTCTAGGAATATACTAAAAACCACTGAGCTGTACACTTTAAATGGATAAAGATGTTACTATAAAAAAAGAGACACCCAGCGATAATTAAAAATATACTGCCACTGGCTTCCTTCCTTCTTCCTCATTCGTTTCTCCCTATTTTGGTTTTCAGAGAACGTATAAGTATTCATTATAATCCACGTATTCATTAGACTGTGATGTAGGAAATAAAAGACTAAAGAAGTGGTAGCAATAATAATATAACAGTATGGTTTACATTTTGCTTTAATGTTATAAAAAATTTTTAAAGCTGAAAGAGATTGTGATTGGCCAAGAATGCTGAAATTTAAAACCCAAATTCCTAAAAGTTTAAATTGTGAGAGGAGAGAACAAAGGGCTTTCACTTCTTTTTGGAGGGTTGTTTTTGTGAGGCCTCACTCGAGGATATTTTCCCACTGATTTTTAGAGAGAGTGCAAGTGAGGGGCAGAGACAGAGAGAGAAAACCATAATGTGAGAGAGGCACATCGATTGATTGCCTCCCGCATATGCCTCACCCAAGGCCAGAAATCAAACCTGCAACTGAGGTGTGTGCCTTTGACTGCAACTTGAACCAGGGACCCTCCAATCCGCAGGCCCACACTCTGTCCACTGAGCCACACCAGCTGGGGCAGGATTCCCATGTTTTACTCTACTCACTTCCATACCTCAAAAAGTACTTAAAAGTATATGTTATTTTTATAATAAATACTTTGGGTTCAAGGTTTCCAATGTTGCTTTGTCTGACAAAAATCCCATTTAAAAGATTTTTGAATTTTAAAGATGACCATGAAAAAAGCAACTGTTCATATTATAGTTACTAGTTTTCAAGATGTTCTATTAAGTGATTTGCAGAGATAAAATTCACTGGTAATAAAATATCTTTAGGAGCTGGGATAAGAAAATAGCACTTGATTTAATTGTCATATATAATTTTAAGATTCAAAAACGTCCTACTTTAAGTTACCTAATGTTTTACTATCTAATCATTTTATTACTTTAAATTTGTTTAAGCCATTGGGCAAGATTAGCTCTTATCAGGGGCCAGTTCTTAATAAAGGCTCCTCTGATGACAGAATCAGCTTTATGGCTAGACTACTTTAAAATAACCACAGCATTCGTGAGACTAAACCAAGCAGCACTTGGTTTCCCCAGAGCCTGTGTATGGGTGTCTATAAATAAATTAGTCCCAGGGGCATGCAGTGGCATACAGCTACCCAAATGTCGTTTGTACTACCTGAAACATTTATCTTCAAAATAGCTTTAAAGATCCAACACTGCTGAGCGGCTGGCGGGGCTGGCTGGGAGAAGTGATGAGTCAGCTACAAAGAAGGACATGTCATCAATAGTGTAATAAACCCAAATGCTACCTAAGAAATCAAATCATCATCAATTATAGACAATGTCATAAGGAGGTAGCCACTATGTTAAAAACAATTTTTTAGATACAAATAAGAGTGTTTTATAGAAACCTGGAAGACATTCTCTCCTTCCTAATGGCTCTTCCCCATCAAAAAACAACTAAATGGGTTGTCTCTTTCAAAGGCTATCGCAATATGATAAAGTAGTTGGTTGTAGCCTTTAAAAATGCTTTGGACCCCTAGCCAGTGTGGCTCAGTGGATAGAGCATCGGCTGAAAAGTCTCAGGTTTGATTTCGGTCAAGGGCACATGCAGGAGGCAGTCGATCAATGATTCTCTCTCATCACTGATGTCTCTCTCTCTCTCCTTCTTCCTTCCTTTCTGAAATCAATAAAAATACATATTTTTAAAAAGTGCTTTGGAATCCAGAAATGAGTGAAGAAAGAATAATCTAAATGTTAAGCTAGACTCAACCTCAGGGCACCTAAGACGTGGTCCAGGGGAACCCTCCCTTCTCTCCACTGACCTGGGCTTACACTTTGAGCCGAGTCCTAACCCACGCCCAGACTCTCACATTCACCCCGAGAAGAAGAGCCGTGCGCCCTATCTGAACGCTCAGTAACACTGAGCCTGGGATGACACGGGCTTTTTACCGTGCA